TCTTTTTAAATAGTCATATTCATTTCACGCGAGCTGCAGTCAAAGTAGGGGGAAGGTGTCTAGGGGTGGGCAACTACTAGCCAAATTATTAGAATTGATACACGACTGGTTGAGCAAAAGGGGCAGTTTCTATTGGATTCAAGGCAGCAGAGCTTTTAGAAATGTCTTTACTTAGTCCAGCCCCAGGGAGAAGACTAAACCCCATGTTGTAATACTGTAATTTTCTTCCCTAGGAAAGCGCGACTCCAAGCACCACTGGCCCACGACAGCTTAAATCCTAGCGTCATCACTTCGGTGACTATTTCTTCTTCTTGTCCTCGTGTCCTGTCTGAGGTCGTTGATGACAGGGATTTAGCAGAATTCACAGATTCGTCAGGATCTGACAAGGCCACGATGAAAGCGCTTCTGCTATGGCCATTAGGGCACTGGAAACTTCAGTGACATCAAGTGATTTACAGGTGCTGAATTTGGGACGTCTGGATCTGCATGCGTTACCTTGATGCTTCTCGAATTGATGGACTGGGTGTTTTGGCTGGAAGGCATTTCAGCCACTACCAGGAGATAAAAATCTCATTTGGCCAGTATCTTCCATATACACATATGAATCAAATGGATGCCATTTGTTGGACAATGACAGTTATGCAAATCTAACTATAATTCCCCTTTCTCTAAGTCAGTTCTGCAGGTCTGGAGAGCAGCCCTGTTCCTGTCCACCACAACGGGCTGACCTGGAATTTGCAACTCCAGCAAAATAAAATAAAATCTCCAGAGAAGAGCACTCCAGCAGAGGAGAAGGAAGATCAGGTTGATAACCTACCTGTACCTTGCTTGGGATGGAAAACTTGGTCTGCTCAGCCTTGCCAGGTGTGTGAATAGCAGTTAGAGGAGGAGGCCAGGAATGGGTCATCTCCTAGGGAAGGAAAAACATCGGAGACCTGATTCATTTAAGTGAGACAGAAAGAAAATTACCCCGTGCAACTTTGCACCCTCCATAAAGGCAACTTCCCAGATCTATTTTGAGACGGCAAGGAACAGGCCTCCTTCCGCGGCATTACTATGTCTTATCTGGTGGATAAACCCCCTAATTACACATTGGGCAACATCCTCTCAGGCAGCAATGACAACATGCTTCAACCAATGAGCCCTGCAGGTGCTCATTTCAGCCTTGTCCAATGCTGAGGTTGGATAGCCTCCAGCAGGCCTCCAGGGTGCTCTGCTCCCATGGCCAGGCTGCCCATCTATCATGTAATGGTCCCCATCCCCACGATGCTGGGACGCCTGAATTTCCAGTGCATATATCTTCACAATGCCCGCACAAGGTGGGAAGTACTGCTCTCCCCACTGTCTCAATGGGAAACCACAGTCTAAAAAGACTAAGTGTCTTAAGGAAGCCAGTGTCTTGGAGGAGAATTGAACTCAGGTCTCTCACCGAGAGCACAACTATTAGGCAACCCTTCCTCCCTAACCAGAAAAAAAACCCCAAAACGGTGTGTTACATTTTTATCATGTTCAAAACACCCGCAAAGGAAATCTCTCCGGGGCTCACTAGCACAGGCCGTAAAACAAAAAAGAGCATGTGTTTGTTTTTAAACACCAAAAGCCCGATACCGAAGGCAATGATACGTCTTCCTACTGACTTCATTGAGTGCAAATTTTGGCCCAAGCTCAGAAAATTAAAATTAAGCCAGACACAGATACTGCAGAAAGTGTTGTTTTAGGCAAAGCTTGTAAATGCTCTTGTAATGACTGTATTTCATGGTAGATGCTGCTCCAGTCTCTCTTGTCTTTGTTTTTAATTCGATGAATATTCAGACAGGCAGGAACACATGTCTCTGGCGATCTGTTACATCTTTGTCTTGGTTGTTTTTCTTTACATACAAAGCGCGGTAGGAATTCTTTGATGAGATAAGAAATACAAAGAGAAAAGGGGGGTCTAGTTTATTAAGTTTTGCATGCAAAGGTGCTGGCTGCGTCAGACCAGTGAGGGTACTCTGTTCAAAGGCCAAGACCGATCATAGCAAATCTTGCAAACTGCAGCCTGAGCTGATGCTCTGCAAGTTAAAAAGACACAGTCCTTGTCTAAAGGTTAAAGATCTGAACCACTGACAAGAAGCAGTTTGGGGGGAAGACGGGGGCATTGGTCAAGCCCGGTAAAACAGTGGTTGCCATCAGTGGCAGATACTTGAATCGTGGAAGGAATCCATAAAGTTTCACTTCTCCGATTATCCCTCCACGGATGACACATCATGCAGCAGAGAGGTTAAGATGAAGTAAGTAATTTGATGAAGTGAACTCGAGTTAGCCTATTTCCTTTGGACTGGTAAGGAAGCCGTGGAAACCAACTACAAATGCCACCCCCAGGGTTAGGCACTTCCCAATGGTCAGGTAACAAGTGACATTTGCCATTCACCATGGTGAACTGCTGCCCAGCCATGAACCTGTAATGGCTTATGTAGCTGTTTAGCTGTGGTCATAAGCAGTCCCAACTCAGTCGGACTACTCATGGGAGCAGAGTCGAGCAAATGCATCGTTGCAAAACAAGGGTCTCGGAGGGAAGAACATCCCTCACTGATGCATCACCACCACGTGACAATGCTTCACAACACTTTGCATTCCCTTGGAAGTTCCCCTGCCCCGATACTTTGTTTGACATAAAACACAGTCTGAAAGGATCTGACTACCCAGAATAATGTATTTGCGTAGCACGTGTGTTCATGTTGAGGTATGAGTTAACTGTCCATGTCAGCAATATACGCCCCTGTGGGAAGTAGACAGGGAACTGCACTATTTTTTTTTCCAGGGGAAGTTAAAAGAAGTAATAAATCCAAATTTGGAAGCATTTAGAAATTCCTGGAAGTAACGATAATAAAACTGAGCATATGAAATGTTTTAAAGTGGAATTTAATGGAAACAAAGTAAGCCCGCAAAATCAAGTTAGGATTTATTTTCACATGGTTTGGACTTTGAATAATTCCAAAATCATGTTAACTGATGGACTGGGCATATGACGGCTATGGTAAGTATGCATATTTTTTTATAGACCTGAAGATTAAATGGGAACATAAACCTGCCCAGCTTGTTGGCTTAGAAGTCACTGTGGTCCACTGGTGTAGTAACATCAAGCGTCCTCCTTTCTGAAAATGATTTAAACATTGTTTTAATTGACTCCATGTGTTTTATTTATTAGGGCTAGGCATGCTCATTTCTTCAGCTCAGTCTGCTTTTTTTCCTAGCTGTAAAAGCCCCCAGGTAAGTAACTAAGAAGTACACATGCAGAAGAAGCCTAATGAAACACCAGGAACATAGCTTTTCTGACCAAATTGTTTAAAAACTGCGGAGATATAGGCCAAATCTGGGTATCAGTGGAAAAGAGAAAATTGTAGAGAGCTTGCAGTCTGAAGCACGGCAGAAAGGGGCAGATGGTAAAACAGCTTGCCAAAACCAGCCCCTAGTAAGGTCTGCTTTCAAGGTGCATTTCCGTATTTCAATTTTCCCCTGATTTCTGCCTTGTTCAAAAGCGTGTGTGTGTGTGTGTGTGTGTGTGTGTGTGTGTGTGTGTGTGTGTTTTAATTCAAGTGAGAATGCTGATCAAGCACTGCAGAAATTGCGATGGAAAAAATGCTGCTATGTCATCTAGTCTCTGTCCCTGCCAAGGCAGCTTCCCTCTCTGCAATGCATTTTGCAGCACCTTCTGCAATCGAACTGTAAATATCCCAAAGCTGCGGGGTTTCTTAACGGCCCGTGGGAGAGACTTCCATGGTAAAACTGTGGGCCAAATGCTCCTCTGCTGCATGAATGGCAGCTCGACAGAACAGCAGACTGGGAAAGCAGCAATTTGGTCTCCCCCACCGGACCCCAGCCAAGAGCTGATGAAAGCTCTGCTTCTGCCATTCCATGCAATGCCTGGCCCCCGGCTTCAGGAGGAGGAAGGAGACGGTGCAGCATGATCCCTGTGATAAAGCTGCTCTGGGATTACTGCTGCAGAAGGGTTGTGGCAGCTTCTGGGAAATGCTGCGTGTCCAACTTCCCTCACACAACGGTCCCTTTAGCTCCCTCGCGCAGAGACGTCATGAGCAGGTTCTGCTTCCAGCCAGGCTGGTGACGGCAGCTGTCAGTCTTGTGCCCTCTCCAAGTTGGTACCCAAGGTTGGTACCCATCCAGGGCTATGCTATTGCCTTCATGCAACCTGTTGTTATACATTTCCTCTGATTTCTTAGTCACACTTCAGATGAAGATTACAAACAGTTTATAATAAGGGGGGGGGGTTAATAGGGTTAAAAGGGTTAATAAACGATGACTAGAGCATACTCTAGACCTAAAGAGTCTGCATTAATAAACCAGTAAAGCACACAAAAAACTTCTTCTAACGCAGGGGGGGCCAAATTAGGCCCTCCAGGTCATTCTATCCGGCCCACGGGGCCCCTAAAAATTTTAGAAAATTAATATTTAGCTGCCTCTGGCTACCTGTCATGCGGCACTTGATGGCTTGCCAAAATTCAGTAAGTGGCCCTCCGCCCAAAATAATTGCCCACCCCTGTTCTAAAGTCTATTAATTGACTTCCAGGTCCCTTCCAGCCCTAATTTTGTACAATTCGATGACCTTTTGGACTCTTGTCACAATTGATCCACCATTTTTGAGAATAATGAACAATGCGTTTTAACCCTTTCCATCACTGGAAAAAACATGACGTGTTTCTCTGCATTTTTCTGGTGTTGGCATTTGCACAGAGCTGCTCATCTTCTCTCTGCTGGGAAGCCAGTCAGTTTAGTAACACATGAAGGGCAGCTAAATTCTGTGTGTGCTATGCATGCTGAACTCAAAAAGCATCTCAGCCAGCCTTATCTAGAAGGAAAAGGCTACTGCAGGAATAAAAAGCAATGCACCCTGGAGTGCAAAACTAATAGAAACGCACAGAAATAAAGGGATTTTAAAATTACTCATGCAAAATATTCCATATGAAATAACAGGCAACTAGTTGGTGTGAGTGCTCGGGTATATCCCCTTATGTGTTAGAGCAGGGGCGGGCAATTATTTCAGGTGGAGGGCCACTTACTGAGTTGTGGCAAGCCATTGAGGGTCACATGACAGGCAGCCAGGGGCAGATAAATATTAATTTTCTAGATTTTTTAAGAGCCCCGCGGGCCGGATAGAATGGCCTGGTGGCCATATCCGGCCCACAGGCTGCATTTTGCCCACCCCTGTGTTAGAGACATGATCAATAAAGTTCAGAGCTATGCATTGGGTTACACTGTTCCGATCCTTTAAGGGAGTCCTAGAAAGAGGGGACATAATAGCTAACAGAATAACCGTAGCGATAGCCTAACAGGGAAAACCAGATTCCTCCATAAAGCCACTAACACAGAAAACAGTTTACTTATGCAAATGCTTCAACAAATTTAGCATCGCTGGCATTTGACTGGCCCACATTACGAGAAAGAGGAACACGGCTGCATTTACAACGATGCCTTCGTCATCCTGGGGAAGAATTTCTATTGTAACTGTAACAAAATCTTCTCCAACAAAATGAAGGATAATTCCAAAATACAGAGTACACAATCCCAAACTTCTTTTTCAAAAGACTGGATTTTATGCTATAAATAAAACCATCTCTCTCTCTCTCTCTCTCTCTCTCTCTCTCTCACACACACACACACACACACACCATTCACCTTGTGGTTTTTCTCCATGACAACAAATAAGTTCCCCTGGCTCAGTTGGTGAATGGGATGCATTCCATATCCTCCCATACTAATTGGCTGCTTTACCTTTCCATATTTGCAGAGCAAAAAGGACTGACAAAAATGCATATTCAGTGAAAATGAATATAGAAATTGTTTTAGAAGCTAACGGGGGTTGGCTATAAACATTACAGCATATGTTTTCCTTTCCTGTTTTCCTAAGATTTGGGA